GAAGGGCAGTTAATCAGATAAATCCTTGCTTCTGATAGAAATAAATCCATGGCCAGGCCCCAAGAGGGCTCGTGTGCCTCTAATCAGGGGTTGTTTCCTGGAAAACAAACCACAACTGTTTGCTCGTGTTGGGCTAAATCTGCCCCAGAGCCCTGATCTGCACATTTATCCAGCTCCTGGCACTTGGTTTGGTGTCCATCCCCTCCCCAGGGAATGAAGCAGCCAAGGAAAGCCGGGTCCTGCTGGCACAACAGCCCCTGGAATGTCCAGGCAGTTAAAATATCATTGCAGTTCCCTTCCAACACAAATATTCCATTTTTTTTCCTGATCTGATCCTATCCCATCCCGCTCAGACTGGTGTCCTGCAGACTCCTGATTGTGGAGCAACAGTGCTGGAGGAGGTAGAGCCACCCCAAAACTTTCCTGCAATTTACTGGAGCCCCTCACCCCCCTCCCGTTCACCCCACCTGACACAACCCGAGCAGAACGCACGAAATGCATTTTAATGTTGCCAAGACAACTGTGTTGACAAAATCCCCCTTTTTCCGTAGCTGCCAGAAGCAGGGTTTTGTTGTAATTTGGAGTTCAGAACTGAGCAGATTTCTGCACCACGCCTGCCATTCCTCTTTTGCTGTTTCCTCCAATATTTCCCCGGCGCCTGCGGTGTGTGGCTCCAACAGAATTTAGATAAAAGCGTCAATTCTGCCGCTCGCCCCATCTCAAACTGATGCTCTTATTAGGGCTTGGCCCATCTGTAAAACCTCAATTCTGCCACCATCAATTTTCTGAGAGGCTTGGAATTACACCAGTGACTCCAGTGTGACAAATTGGAGCGGTGTTAACACTCCGCCACTTTGTCCTGGAAGACAAAATAGGTAGGGAGGAAATAAATGAGAAAATGCCACTTGATGGATGGTCTGGCGGTCCAATCGCAGCATGAGAGGGGAATTGGGGCTCCATTTAGGAAAAACAAAAGAAAAAGAAAATTTAAAAATCGCAGCAGGTTGGCTGGAGCTGTAATAGCTCGGGAGCTGCCAGCCAGCATCAATAACGTCAGGCTTGGAGCTCCCAGCTCCGAGTCCATCCAGGAACAAACTCCTGGTCCTTTTCAGCCCCTCACGTCCCCTCCTTTGCTGCTGACACCCCAAAATCCTCCTTCCTGGCATTAAATTTTCCAATAAATCCTCTTTGCTCTGGTTTTCTAAGGAGGGACTCGTGTCCCTGTTTCAAATGGTCAAGAGATCTGGCTCCTCGTGACATGAGCCCCCAGTGAAATTGTGCCCCTGACACAGCTCTGGGATCTCCTGAGCGCTGCCAGCACCCCTCTCCAACAGGATTAGGATTCCTCCCTTCCCCACGGATGAATCCGACATGTGGAGCCGAGGCAGAGCTCAGGCCCTGCTCGCCCTGGCATCCTCAGGGACGTGCCAGAGGAAAATTGAGGATAATTTGTTCCCCCGAGTTTCTGTCCATGCTTTGCATTAGCACTTGTTGCCATAGTACCAACAACGGTGGCAAAGTTCTCCAGGGCCCTCCGGGGACGTGTTCCTTGTCCTACAAGGGCTCTGACTCTAATTCCAGCAGGACTCAGGTGGGAGATGATGTGGGATTTTTCTGCCTCCCGGATTTGCTGGAGGTGCTGCCGGTGGGACAGAGGCTGTTCCTTGGGAGCAGCACCAGCCTCATCATCCTCACCCCTCCAGCATCCCTGAACATGGATGTGGCAAAATCTCAGGAGTGCGTGTGGGAGAGGAATGGAAATGGACCCCAAAGATCCCAGGGGTTTTGCCCTTCCCTCTGGAAGCTGAAGCAGCCCCAGCCCCCGTCCTAAACCAGCTTTTCCTCTGCCAGAGGAGAGGATTTTGGATCCCCAAGCCCCTGCTCCTCACAGACCCCAGGGCCAGCTCGGAGCCCTCATATCCCAGATGTGGCAGGGATGCTCCATTTTGCTGCCTGGTGGGGATGAAGGATAATCCCTGCTGGGAGAGCACCGAGCTCCCCTCCCCTGGGAGCGAGGAAGAGCCGCACGTTCCGGCACGTCTGGAAACGTAAGCCTGAAACTCTGGAAAATGGGATTAAGACGAGCCTGCCCTAGAAGGGCATTGCCAAATCTCGTTAAGCATTTCGGGATTGTCACGGAGAGGAGAAGCCATGGAAAGCGTTTCCTTGGCATCATTGCCCTCGTTTTTGTAGGGACACACGCAGAACCTCCGGGTTTCCACGCTGCACACGCAGAGCCATCCTGGTGCCACCCTCCTGGTGACATCTGGGCTTCCCACAGCCACATCCCGAGCCAGATCCCGCAGGGACGGTGACAACGCCGGGTCCCTTATCACACCCAGCCCATCAGGGCTCATTTGCAACGAGCATGATTTATCCAGCCTCAGCCAGACCGCGGCTCACAGGCCTCTTCGGGACACAATACATTTATTTTTGGAAGGATCAGATTGCATCTATAGATTTGATTTAACGCACAGATAGGATCGGAGCAGTGGGAGTAGAACAAAGGCATCAGAGCTCCGCTCGGAGCCGCCTCTCCAGCCCGGCCCCTCGTTATCGGGGTTGGGTTTCTTTAGGGGAAAATTGATGGTATCAACAAGTATCAAACAATATCCTCGTTCCTCGGGAAAGGTAAATGCTAATCTATGCGAGCTGAGCTCATGTGACTTATCAGTTACTAAAAATAGTTGTTTTCAGGCACTGATTTAGGGAATCTGGCAGTTTTCCTAAGCCTTTGTACAGACACACCACTGAAATGGAAAAGACAAAATACACAAGCAAAGCAGGGAAGGGGGAAAAAAAATCTGACAGGGCCAAAACGGCCCCCGAGGGCGAGGGAGGACCAAGCCCTCCCCGGGAGCAGGCACGCAGCGTTCATTCCAAGCGAGGATTCCAAGGAGGATTCAGCCCAAACCCCTCCGCCTAAGATGGCCTCTCGCTCACAGTTGTGGCGCTGGCAGGGGGAATAAGCAGAACCCAAAAGGGCACGAGGAATTGTCCCTTTCCCGGGCTCCAGAGGGGGTGTGATGCTTCTCCCAGGGCGGGTACCTGAGCAGGGAAATGCCCCCTCCAACCCCACGGCTGCGGGGGAAGAGACTCCGCACCCGGAGTTTGTTTGCAAACATTTCAAACTGCAGCGTCTGTGCCTGAGTTTGTGGCGTCCTTAAGGAAATATTCTGGGAAATACAAGCTGGGAGAAAAGAGAGGGAGGAGGAAATTGCTGATGCAAACCTAAATTCTTTAAATAAGGCTTCCCCACTGAGACCTTGAGCAGAAAACGAGAGGCAGCAAAAGGTGCAGGTAGAAATTCCAGGGAGAGTGATTCCCTCCCTGCTCCCAAAGCCTCCCTGCAGCTTCTCTGTGATCCTCCCTGTAGATTCCCGTCTGCCAGAGCCGCTGGCACTTGGGAATGTGGGTGAGGAAGAGGAGCTGGTGTTTGAAGCAGCCAAACCCCCTGCTGCTGCAGCTGCCCCTGCGATCTGCCCTGTCCCCCGTGCCAGACAGCCCCCGCTCCCCCGGGAAGGACGGAAGGAAAGAAAGAAGGAAGGAGACACTTCCCCTCCATCTCAGCGAGAGGCGGATGCGCTCCTCGAGGACTCGGCAGATCGCTGGCAAGTCTCCTGCCAGAATTTCCTCCCGACAGTCAGAACTTGGGAGCGTCGGGAGAAAATGTCCGCACCTGGGCTGCGGGCGCTCAGCGAGCGGGGCAGGGAGCCGCGGCTGGACGGGGCAGCCCGGCACCAGATGTTCCAGATGTGCCCGCACCAAGAGCTCTTTTCCCCTCTGCTTTGCCACTAAGAACCAAAAGCTTTCGGCTGCCAGCCCAGCCGAGGCAGCAGCAGGGCAAGCAGGGCTCATCCCCTCCGATCCCTGCGGCAACAGTCCCCGCCTGCATTCCCGGCTCATCCACAGGGACCTGCGAGGTCCTCGGTGGGCAGAGGAAAGGGGAACGATCCGGGCTGAACCCCCGTTCTCCCTAAAGGACAGGAGCCAGCCCCCAACAGGACATCCCGAGGGCTGGAGCCGCACTGGGGAGTGTCCTCTCCACCCCGGGCTGGATGGGAGATCCACCCCAGAGCTCCGGGGACAGCGAGGACACCCTGGGGACAGCCGGGACATCCCAGGGACAGGGCAAACAGCGAGGGCAGGACCTGGCGTGGGCCACTCCCCACCCCAGCACGGGGCTCGCTGGCATCTCCCGCAATCCCGAGCCCTCCCCGTCGGGGTGCGGAGGCTCGGGAGCCCCGGCGCTCCGCCGAGTTCAGCACCCGGGACAGCTCCGGCGAGGCGGGATCGCCTCAGCTCATCCCCCCGGGACAGCGGCGCTGCACCCGGGACAATGCCCCCGCCTCCCGAAACCGCCTTCTCCCGGGAGACGGCATGCCCAGGGAAAACTGCCCTTCCTCGGCAGGCTGACATTCTGCGGAAACTGCCCCCCTGCTCTCCCCAAAAACGCCCCCGCTAACCCCGCTTCGGCCGGTCCGCTCCCCGCACCGATGGCGCCCGGCCCCCGCCCGCCCGGCTCCGTTCGCCGCCTGTGCCGGGCTCGCTGCCCTCCGCCCGGCCCGCCTGCCCTGCCCCGGCCCGGGCCTCCCCCGCTGCCCCATCCCAGCCTGGGCTGCGGGGGAGGAGGCTCCTTCCCGCAGCCGCCGGGCTCGGAGGCGCTGCAGGAACTTTGCGGGGTGCGGAGGGACGGGGGGGACACCCCGCAGCGTGTCCCGGGGCTGGGGGGCCAGCGGGAGCCGCGTCTCGGCGGGACCACCCGCAGCAGCAAAGCGGCTTTCCCCGGGCACGTCCCACGCGTGTCCCGCTCCGCAGAGCCCGGCTGCCCGCACGGGCAGCGCTGGGGTCCCGCCGCCGCCTCCCCTTCCCCCGGCCACGGGCACGGCGCGGCCCCGGTGCCCGGAGCCGGCGGCGCTTCTGACGGGGCGCACGGTCCCGCAGCCCCGGCAAAGTTTCCCGGAGAAGCGGCGCCCGGTGCGGGGCTGGGGGGCACCTACCGTGCGGCGGAGAGGAGCCGTGCCCGGCCCCGGCCCCGCGGCCGGCCCCGCATCCCTCCCGGCGGCTCGGCGGGGACGGAGCCCGGCGCGGCGCTGGGCTCGGCTGGGCTGGCAGGGGGGAGCCAGTCCTGGCTGCGCCCCTTTATCCCAGCATCACCGAAACGAATCCGCTTTGACGTCCAACCAGGGTTTTTATGGGTGTGGAGCGAGCCGGTGCAGCCCTCATTAGGAGACACTCCGCTCTCCAAATCATACATCTTTTATATAACCTCATTTCCAGCGTGGCTTTTCTCCCCCCTCCCTCCCCTTGCCGGGGAGCATCGCCCACCCCCCCCAACTCCCCCACCAATTAAAGAGCTCAGAGACACCCCCCGGCCCCCACTTGTTGCCTGGAAGCTCCGCTTCATCCCCCGCGGGCCTGACTCAGCCTGCCCCGGGCGAGTGGGGGGCTCTGCCTGCCCCGGGGGGCATCGGAGGGGCTGAGTGCTCCCCGGGTGCCTGCCCAGCCCTGCTGCAGCCCCCGCATTCCTGTTCCCAGGCGGGTTGTGCTGCAGAAAATCCCTCTCTCCCGCTGCCAGCGGAAGCCGCCCGTGCCCGCTCGGTGCCCGGGGCAGACACCGCCGCTCCTCCGGGAGCTCCCGGTGCTCCCAGCCGGGATCCAGGCGGGACAGCCCCGCGCCTCATCTGCCGGAGCCGCCCCCGGGCTGCCCCCGGGCCAGGGAACAAAGGCTCTCCTCACCCCATTTCCCCTCCTGACTCTTCATCTGCCCCCAGCGCGGCCCGGAGCGGACCCAGGCTTGACATCCGTCTCCAGCCTTTGCGATTGTGCTCATTCCCATGGCAACAACAAACACACAATTAGAGATATATAATATTATATAAACCCAGCGGGCTCTCGGGCAGGGCTGGGAGCTTCACCTGCTCCCAGCCTGCTGCAAGGCCAGGAGGCAGCTCCCAGCGGAGCAGGGAGAGGTGTCCCGAGCCCGGGGAAGGCGCCCAGCCCGCGGGTGCCCGGCAGCGCCGGTGCCTCACCGGAGGCAGGCAAACAACGCGCGGCGCAGCAGGCGGCTCAATTACAGAACTTCCCGCAGCGAAGGGGAGCGGAGCAGCCCCGCTCCTGCCCGCCACCCCGGGAGCCGTGCAGAGGTGGAGAGGCGGAGAGGACGGGCAAATGCAGCAGCGGAATCGGGGCTGCCTCCCCCGTTCCGCCCCTCCTGGCAGAGATCAGGCTGTAACACTGTCTGGGGCTAAGGGAAACGTGATTCTGCCTGTTTAGAGCCAGGAGGACTCATCTCAGAGCAAGGACATCTGCTCCCATCCACCGGCCAGGGCGTGCTGCCCCGCGCGGGGAGCCGCGGGCACACACCGGTGACAAAGGACTGCGTGACCCGGGCACGGGCTGGCGATGGGCAGCTCAGCCCGGGCCGGGAAAAGTCCAAACCCTTCTCCTTGCAGGGCTCACAGCTTGGAGCCTTAGAGCTGCAGGGCTCTGTGGGCTGGAGCAGCTTTCCTTGGCCAGGGGTGCAGGCAGACGCAGGCTCACGCAGGGCTGGTGGCTGTGATGTCACCTGTTTGAGGGGACTCTGCACTGCCAAAGCCACCCCAACACACGGCCACCAGCCCCTCCTGCTCCTCCTGCCAGCGAGGCAGATCCACCAGAGGAAGCACAGCCCTGATCCAGGGGAGCAGAGCTCCCTGTGCCGCTCCGGGACGCGCCTTTGGAAGTCCAGCCCTGCCACCCTCCACCCGCGCCGGGATCCCGGCCCGAGAACCGGCCCAGGATCCCGGGAACAGAGTTCCGCTCATCCCTGGGCCGCATTCTCCCGGGGCCCGGCAGCACTTCCCTCCCCACGGGAATCTGGGTGGCACCACGCTCGTTTTGGGATCACCCGGAGCTTTGCTGCTGCCCCGAGATCCGCGTGGGCCGGGAGCAAAGTGTCCCTGTGGGCAGGGAGCCGGCGGCCTGCACATGTCCTGTGCTCCCCCTGCGCCAGGGAGGAGCCCCAGGTAGCCTTTCCCTCCAGCTGGAAGCCGTGAGTCAGCCGGGAAGGGCAGGGAAGGCTTGGAGGCTCATAAACAACTGAGGAGGCAGAGGTTGGGCGGCGAATGGAGAAGGTGGAGCGAGACCCTCCCCAGCCCAGCCGCACCACTGACCCCTTCCCCGCACAGCTCCCGCTGTGACAGCAAGGGCTGCGCCTTCCTCCCTCCAGCAAGAAGCGTCTGGGGACAGCATTCCTCCCCAGGGAACGTGTCCCTGTCACCCCGCCTCGCCCGCCCTGGGCAGCCCCAGAGAGCAGCCCCCAGCCCTGGAGGAGCCCCCCATCCCCAGCCCTGCCCGGCCAGCCTCGTCCATGGAAGTTGCTTTCCCCTTTCCCAGAGCTGGGAGCCAATTCAGGCGGCGCTGCCTGGGAAGTTATCCCCCAAAACTGCTCGGGAGAGGAAGAGCCGCCTCCCCGCCCCTCGCAGCGCTGCTGCCCGGTTCCCCCTCTCCTCCGGCAGCGGCTCAGCGCCGCTCGCTCCCGGCCATACGCTGCCAGAGGTTAGGGATAGAAACCGAGCACAAGCCCGGCACTTAATGCCCGAATTTCCTTCCCACCCCGCCGATCCCGCTGCTTCCCCTCTGCTGCTGCCCTTCTCCTCACCCACCTCTCTCTGGGCAGCGTGCCGAGGCGCTGGAGCCGCATCCCGGAGCCGGAGCCCGCAGCTGCCCGGGATCCGCCGGGAATGCGCCGCTCAGGGCGCTCGGCTCTCGCCGAGATCCTCAGGAACGCGCGGATCTCACGCACAAGCTCCGCGGCTCGGGAGTTACCGGGCTGCTCCTTCCACGCGGCTGCCGAGGCGGGCGGGGGATTCCAGCCCGTGGGGCTGCAGGAAGGGCTGAACAAATTCCTGCTAAAGCTTTAGGAAGGGCGCACACAGCGCACACACGCGCGCCAGCCGATAGCGGGGTCTGGCACCGCCACTGCGGCCATTTGGGACAAATCCCAGGATTGTCCGCCCGTGCTCCAGTTTGGAGCCAGCGCCGATGCTGGGCTTTGCCTAGAGGTGGCAGTGAGCTTTCGCTCTTCGCTCTTCCCTTCTCCCGACCCCCGGCACTGCCTGGGGAGTCCCGGAGCTCTGGCTGGGGCAGCGTTGCTGTGTCCCGCTGGCCCCTTCCGAACCCACCCCCGGGGGAATCTCTGCCGTCGTCCCCTCTGCACGGGGAAAAGGTCGGGGCCCATCGAGGCCAGAGCAAAACTGGGGCTTGATCAAATCCTTAAAACCTGGGAGTTCGCGGCCAGGCCAGGTCGCTTTTAAAACATCCCTGGGTCAGCTCCCAGCTCCTCCCTCCCCGTGGCATTTTAGGGGAAAACTCTGTGTCCCCCACCTCCCCCCACCCCTCAGCGACCGGGCAGAGCTGTGGCAATGTGAAATATCCCAGGACAAACTTCAGTGTCCAACAAGACACCTGTAAAACACACCAAAAGCCACGTTTATGTCCCAAACGTCCCCGCCCTGGGGGTCAGAGCTGGAAAACGCTGCTGGGAAGATTCCCTGGGAGCTCCTCTCCTGCTGCGAGGCACGGGGTGGGTGATGAAGGGTGATCGCTCTCTCTCACACGTGGGCACACACGCACGCAGCAAATCTAATAAAAAGATATTAGTCCGAGAGAATTTGGCTCCTGGCATTCAACTATCTCGAGCTTCATACAGACACCAAAGAAATGAGATTATGGGAGCACACAAACAAGAAATTCCAGGGGGATGAATTCATGTTTCATCGCTGTTACAGGGCGGGGAAGGACCTGTCTGTCTTCCCTTGCATTTCTTTTTAAATTCTACATCAAAATATGAACCCCCTCCCTTCAAAAGTCACACTTCCTCCAGCCCCCAAGCCCTACCACCCTCCCATCAAAATCCGAATTGCTCTCATTATCATTCTAAGGACGCGTTGAAGGGCTGACAAACACCCCAAAGTTCAAGGACTCCTTGTAAACCCGGGGTGTAATTTAGATTTTAAAAAGCCTGCTTTGAAACCTCTCTCGGCAGCCTGAAAGGGGCTCGAGTCACTCCTGGGTTATTCAGATGCAAACCCTGGTTTGAAGCACAAGTGGCTGAGCTGAGCCATCCCCAGCAGCTGGAGCTCCGGGGGCAGATGCTCCGCAGCAGCAGCAGAGCGCCACGACTCCGCTGGAATCAGCGGAATGGAGATCATTAAAGGCAGCTAAAACCAGCCAGCTCCCAGGGTTTTGTGCCATCTGAGCCCTTATTCCCAGCCCGTTCCTTCCCAGTGGGATCAGGCCCCCGGACGGCACCTTTGAACCTTTAGAACAATTCCTGGTGTAATTACAAAGCAGAAACAATCGCTCTCGTGTCGACCTTAAGCAGTAAATTCCCAGGTTTAAATTGGTTGGTTTATTTATTTTTTTTTTTTTTCAATGAAGTGACACATTTCTGAGGGCTGTGGGTTAAAGACTCTTTTGAAAAGCCCCAAATCCCTAATCCGGAGTGAAAAGTTATCGCTGGAGCACCTTGGGGTGGGTGGTGACAAACACAGGAAAGGGCCCAGCGCCAGCCGGGGCTCTGGGTAAATAGGGCCGGGGAGGAGCAGCAGCCTGACGAGCCTGATAAGCCAAATCTGCCCAGCATTCACTGCAAAAAGCAGCACAAAGCCAGCCCGACAGCGCAGGAACAGCTGCTGCCGAGCCCTTCATTTCTAAAGAGCAGCAAAGAGGAGAAAATAATATGATAAAAATAATCCAGCACGAAGCAGCAAAGTCCCTCGGTGCTGGCCCGCAGGGGGGAGGCTGCAATGCCCTGCTGCCCCCCAAAAAACGGAATTTGGGCATCCCCAAGCAGGAGAGAGCAGCGAGTAGGGTTAGATGGGGGTTTGGGAAGAATTGTTCCCTGGGAGCGCGGGGAGGGGTTGGGCTGGAATTCCCAGAGCAGCTCCGGCTGCCCCTGGATCCCTGGAACGTCCAAAAGCAGGCGGGACGGGCTTGGAGCAGCCCGGGGCGGTGGGAGGTGTGGCCGTGGGATGAGCTTTGAGGTCCTTTCCCACCCAGAGCATTCCATGATTCC